TAGTTTTCCCCTGTTGCTGCTCTTTCCCCTCAGATCCAGCAGCTCCACTAGTGCCAGTCTCCACATCATTTTCTCCACCAGCAGGTGCCTCCTGTACCTTCTTTCCATCACCACCCTCTGCAGCTGCCTCCTCTCCCTCCTCCCACACACTAGGAGTCAGGTCCAGCTGCATGGTGATCTGCTCCATCTGCTGGGACACCCTGGCCTCCGGCTGTTTCTCCTAGCTCCCATACATCATGCCCTCAACAAACTTCACATCCCTGCTGTCAAACAACACACCCTTGGAAGGCTCCCACAGCAGCCATCCCTTGCTCTCAACAGCCAGCCCCAAATGCACACACCAGATTGCACTCGCCCCCAACTTACTGCGGTAGGTCTTGGGGACGTGGGCGACTGCCATGCAACCGAACACCCTCAGCATGTCCAACACACTGGCCGACACTTTCACACCAACCCCTCCAACGGCGTTGCACTCCCCCTGGGATGCAGACCCCTCTCCAGCCTGCCCCCCACCGTGCCACGCCAGTGCCGGCAGCTGCCACATAGATCTGTACACGTCCTTGCTCTCGTGCAGATCCCAAAGCACACGATTGTCCAGCTTCCCCTTATAAGTGCGAGCCCCATCCGTGTTGGTGTTCACCCCAGCCTTGCCAAGCTTACGTAGGGAGATGAGGTTGGCCTTCAAGTCGGGGACGAGGAGAACGTCGTGCAGCACCACCGGCTTGCCATCCGCTCCCTTAAATGCAGCTCGTCCCGCACCAGCCACCTTCAACATGTGTCCAGAGGCAGAGCATACCTCATTAATCGGTGCAGCGCGTACGTCGTCCAGCAGGTCCTTGCGCGGCGTCATTGTCCAAGCAGCGCCTGTGTCCAACACCCAATAGTCCAGGGGGTGCAGCTCTGCTCCAGCCTTAGCAGATGCGTCTCGTTGCTCCCCCTTGTCTCCCATATGGAAGAATTGGACCGCGGTGCGCTCCTTCTTCTTTTCCGCACCGCCGTTGCCCTTCGGGTTGTTGTCGGACGAATCAGCGACCATGTTGGCGCCGTTTTTCTGGTTCCTCCGCGCGCCGCCATCCTGGTGACGATTCTGGGGGGTCCATCCATCGGGTTTCTTATAGCACAAAAACCAGGGGTGCCCTTCCTTCTCACAATACCAGCAACTCCCTTTCATTTTGCCACCAGCACCCGACTTGCCCCCACGTCCAGATTTCGCACCGCGACCCCAACCGGTACCTCCTTGTTGGTCGTTGGAGTCGTCGTCTTTCTTTGCACCGCGTCCAGCACCACCGAAGCAACGTCCTCTGCCACGTCGGCTCCCTTGCATCCCGTAGCCGCTGCTGCCGTCGTCTCCACCCCTCAGTTGGCGGCGACGGAAGTCCTCCTCCAGAATCTTCGTCCGCACCCACTCGAGCGTCCACAAGCTCTGGTTCTGCGGCAGGCTCAATCCGCTCGTGAATTGAAGCCACGATTCCGGCAGCAGCGAGAGCATCTTCAGGCACTTGGTCTGCTCCGGGTAGGTGATTCCCGCGGTCGCCAACTTCGCGTAGAGATCACGCATCTTGTCCAGGATAGGTTGCACCGGCTCTCCCTCGCTTAGGCGCAACGGGGACAGCTCCCTCTCCATCATGAGTGTCGAAGCGACGGAGGTAGGGGCGTGCAGCTCCTTCAACACCGTCCACGCCTTCGGACCGCACTCAACCTCCGGCAGCAGGTGCATGACGTGGTGACGCTGGTTCAGCTCCAAACTCTGCGACATCAAGTAGTAGCCAGCCGAGGCGCGCTCGTCCCAATCTTCCTGAAGGGCGGGGTCACTCGGTCTAGGCTCCTCCCCAATCATTAGTTTCAGCAATCCGATCTGACGGAAAAAAAGTTGCATTTTCCAGGCCCAATCATCATAGCCCTCACCATTGAACTTCTCGACGGTGAAGTTTTTCAGCACCTCCTTGATCAGCGAGCCCTGGCTTGTTCGCGCTCCCCTTGGCGCAGAAACACCAGAATCATGGCTGCCGCTACGATCTTGGCAGCCCCTTGGGCTGAAGATTCACCAGCTACCGCCGAGGTGTTCCCCGCCATAGCTACCTTTAACGAGGATCACTATAACGCAGCTCTGATACCAGCTTGTTGGTGTAAGGGCCTAATAAACTCAAGCTATTAAGACTTTATCAAACTTAAAACCTCTCCTCGGGGTCACCTCCAAGGGTCCTTGGGTGCCTGGTACAAGACCAGCCCCTATCCTCGGGTCCGAGTTTGTAGAGAGAGGGATCAAGAGGGACTTAGTCAAAACAGCAAGAGTACCTTGAACGTCGCGCAGCGTATCGTGCAGACCGTCGATCGGATTAAGCTGAGAATTTCCTATATCGAAGCTCACTCTAAGAGCTTTAAAATAAGCCAAGTTGCCTCGCGAAAAGTTCTGCCATTACGAAGTTATGGCTCGGACAGCGTTAGCCTAGCGTTGGATTGCTAGCGTACTAGCGTTGACTCGGGTAGCATTCCGCCGTCGCACCGCGTAGAAACGAAATTCCAGGAAGGGAGGAATTCGCTTGAATCAATTTCACTATATTCAATTTCCTTTTTTTTTATCAGGTCCGCTTCTTGGCAGGATGATTTACTAGCTTTTACCTAACGCAAGCAGGTTTTGCTAGTGCAAGTTTGCGAATGGATGCAACAGACAGTTCAGGGAAACTGTCGGCCTGCCGGCACCCACCACGCGGTTACCAGTGTTCAGGAGTTGAGGCTCCCCCAGTCGCATGCCATCCAGACGGGGTTTATTTTTTTCTGACCGTGGGCAGATAACAGTCTGGCAGCCTCTTTCCCCTATGGCCGTCTGTTGTATGCATCTGCATAATCGCACTGGGACTTCCCCATCTTTGAGAACGGGGGGATTGCGCATATGAAGCAGTTGAAGCTGCTCTGGAGGGAGGGACAGAAACCATCGGCGAAGCAATTACTGTGGAAGGGTAGATGGAGCGGGCAAATAAACTGGAAGCGGACTATTGCCATTCGGGACTCGTTGGTTACACCGGGCAAACCGCGAGATCTGCTGCTGCGGATCCACAACCTTAATCTGCAAGTGGGAGAGCGGGTGGCGTTTCTGAGCAGCAAGCCGGTCTGCCCTTTCTGTGGAGATGTGGAAACCCTAGAGCACTGTCTTTACAGCTGCCCGAAGATACAACCGGTGACCTCTGTCAAACTTATATGATCTAGCCTGTGTAGGCTGTAGCGGGTTAGACACTAAGGGGTACACAATTCTAGGGTTTCATATTTGTATAACTTTCATTTCTTAGTCATTTATCCTCGTTCTAATCTCCACATGGTATAGAGCAGGTTCCCTCGTGGGAACTGTTCCTAGGGCCCACCGAATATCGACTTTTTTTCCTGCCCGGAGCGCGCTTAGCCCCTACCCGAGTCGCGCCCCGTGTGGCTCCCCTTCGTGGCCTATAGCGGCCCCTCTCACGGCCCCTAGTGGCCCCGTCGCGCCGTCCTCACGGCCCCGTCGCCGCCTCCCCCCTTTTTTTTCAGCGGCCTCGTCGCCGCCCTCTCAGCGGCCCCGTCGCCGCCCTTTCAGCGGCCCCGTCGCCCCCCTTTCAGCGGCCCCGTCGCCGCCCTTTCAGCGGCCCCGTCGCTTCCTCTTAGCGGCCTCATCGTCACCCTTCAGCAGCCCCGTCGCCGCCCTTCAGCGGCCCCGTCGCCGCCCCTTTCCGCGGCCCCGTCGCCGCCCTTTCAACGGCCCCGTCGCCCCCCTTTCAGCGGCCCCGTCGCCGCCCTTTCCGCGGCCCTGTCGCCGCCTCTTAGCGGCTTAGTCGCCGCCCTTCAGCGGCCCCGTCGCTGCCCTTCAGTGGCCCCATCGCAGCCCCTTTCCACGGCCCCGTCGCCACCCCTACTCGGCCTCGTCGCCGCCCCCTTTCGGCGGCCTCGTCGCCGCCCTTCAGCGGCCCCGTCGCCGCTCCTTCGCGGCAGCGACGCTGCCCTTCACGGCCCCGCCGAGCCGCCTTCGCTGCCGAGCCGCTGAGCCGCCGAGCCGCCGAGCCGCCGACCTGCCGAGCCGCTGAGCCGCCGAGCCGCCGAGCCGCTGAGCCGCCGAGCCGCCGAGCCGCCTTTGCCGCCGAGCCGCCGAGCCGCCTTTGCCGCCGAGCCGCCTTTGCCACCGAGCCGCCGAGCCGCACTGCAGCCGAGACGCGGCCGCCTGCCGGCCCGCCCCGGACCGCCTCACTTGCCTGGTAAGAGCAGTGCCTCTGCCACAGCACTGCCCTACCCCACTATACTCACTGCCTATCTACTGCTGTCATGGCCACCCCTAGTGTTCTCACCTTTGACGCTGAGGGTCGGGCTGTTGACTTTGAGGTCTGGGTATATGATCGCCGTCGCCACCCCTTTCCGCGGCCCCGTCGTCGCCCTTTCAACGGCCCCGTCGCCCCCCTTTCAGCGGCCCCGTCGCCGCCCTTTCCGCGGCCCTGTCGCCGCCTCTTAGCGGCTTAGTCGCCGCCCTTCAACGGCCCCGTCGCTGCCCTTCAGTGGCCCCATTGCCGCCCCTTTCCACGGCCCCGTCGCCACCCCTACTCGGCCTCGTCGCCGCCCCCTTTCGGCGGCCTCGTCCCCGCCCTTCAGCGGCCCCGTCGCCGCTCCTTCGCGGCAGCGACGCCGCCCTTCACGGCCCCGCCGAGCCGCCTTCGCTGCCGAGCCGCTGAGCCGCCGAGCCGCCGAGCCGCCGACCTGCCGAGCCGCTGAGCCGCCGAGCCGCCGAGCCGCTGAGCCGCCGAGCCGCCGAGCCGCCGAGCCGCCGAGCCGCCGAGCCGCCAAGCTGCCGAGGCGCCTTTGCCGCCGAGCCGCCGAGCCGCCTTTGCCGCCGAGCCGCCTTTGCCACCGAGCCGCCGAGCCGCACTGCAGCCGAGACGCCGCCGCCTGCCGGCCCGCCCCGGACCGCCTCACTTGCCTGGTAAGAGCAATGCGTCTGCCACAGCACTGCCCTACCACACTGTACTCACTGCCTGTCTACTGCTGTCATGGCCACCCCTAGTGTTCTCACCTTTGACGCTGAGGGTCGGGCTATTGACTTTGAGGTCTGGGTATATGATCTGCAGCTTTTCCTACAGTGCGATACGGCAGACGGTCTCTCCATGTTTGACCTCACTTCTGGTGCCTCTCCTGCCCCTGCTGCTGATGCTGACGCCACTGTTCGCTCACAGTGGGCCACGCGCGATGCTGCTGCCCGCCTTGCTATGCGCCGCCACTTACCGACCGCTGAGCGCGCGCATTTTAGCCAGTACAAGAGTGCTAAGACCTTGTACGATGCTGTAGTTGCACGCTACTCTTCCCCTGCCACTACTGCTCTTAGCCGCCTCATCGTGCCGTACCTCTTCCCTAACCTCGCCGCTTTTCCCACAGTCGCTGACCTCGTTACGCACCTTTGCACTAGTGACATTCGCTACCGTGCTGCGCTTCCTGCTGAGTTCTGCGCCAAGAACCCCCCCCCCCCCCTATGTACATCACCCTCTACTACATAGTCACCCGGCTCCCTGACACCCTTCGCTCGGTCAGGGGCCACTTCCTCTCTGTTTGCCCCACCACACTCACCGTTGACCTCCTCGAGGAGCGCCTCCTAGCAGTAGAGAAAAGTATAGTCGCTGTAGGAGCCTCTCGTGGTGACCCTCGTACCCCTGTCTTTGAGGGGTGCTCCCCCTCCCCCCTCTGGCCGACTGTTTCCTCTGCTGCTGCGGTCGACCTTGTTGGTCTTGAGTCGATCGGCGCACCGTCTGCCCCTAGCGGGAGACGCCGCCCAGGCAAGGGCAAGGGGGGCAAGGGCGCTAGAGGAGCTGGCGGGGGCGGTGGAGGCGGTGGTGGAGGCGACGGAGGGGTTGGGGGTGGCGGTGGGAGTGGTGGCGGGGGTGGGGGCGCGAGTGGCGGCAGTGGAGGCGGAGGAGGCGGCGGTGGTGGCGGTGCGGGCGGAGGTGGCGGAGGTGGAGGCGGTGGTTGTCAACGGGAGTTGGGTATTGGCCCCGTCCTCGCTTGGGCGGAGCCGATTTCGTGGTCGGGTGTGAGGGGAGCAGCCGACCTTCAGCAGTGGGTGAGCTGGTCGATGAGGAGGTCGACCTGCACGGGGGACCGCTGCACGGGCGCCGACTTCAGGGTGGCGCCGACTTCAGGGAGGTCGACTTGGGAGTCGACCTCCGGAGGACGTCAACTTGGCGTAGCCGACTTCGGCGGTCGGCTAACGGACGGCAGGTCGACCTGTTAGTGGTCGACCGGACGTGGTGGTCGACGAAGGAGGGGCCGACGTCGACCTTGGCGCAGGACGCCGAGCAGTCGGGCGTCGAGTAGCGGGGCGTCAACTTCGTGACGCTAGCTTTGGGTGGCCGACGTGGGTGGTCGGCCGACGACTGTGCTGGTCGACGAGGAGCACGTCGACCAGGAGTACTGGTCGACATGGAGCTGGTCGACCAGAGGGGACGTCGACCTGGAGGAGGTCGACGTGGAGGTGGTCGTCGACTTGGGAGGTCGACGGGCACGAACGGGAGCTGCTGGTCGACGTGGTTGCCTGGTCGACCAGGTTACCTGGGTGACGAAGTGCTGCGGAGGAGTGCGACGGTCGCCTAGGTGAAGTTGGCGAGCCCGACCTCGGTGGTGGTATCCCGAGGTCGTCGTGGCGGATCAGAGGCAGTCGTCAGCTCGAGGTTGACGTGGTGTGTGCGCTGTGCAGGTGACGAGACTCTGCACGCCAATCATCTGCGCACAACTGCGATTCAGGGTGCACTGCTGTCCTGCGAGAGCAACGCTGTCTCGCCGTCAACCTGCGACGTTGTCACGCCGTCAACCTGCAACGTTGGCACGCCGTCGACCTTGCCTTGCTGGAGCGCGGTCGACCAAGTCGTGCTGGAACGCGGTCGACCAAGCTGCGCTGGCAGTTGGCCGACCTGAATGCTTGCTCTGATGTAGTCTTGCTATGCCAACTTCATTGTACCCAATTGTTGTCATGTTTTCCTAAGTGAAACTCTTGCAAATTCTCCCCGTGAACTAGCAAGGAGCGTGAACACAAGGAAACGACTAAGTGAACGAACGCAGAGATCACACGAGCACACGTGCCTAGCCCGTAGCCTGGCTCCCGTTGCTGCAGTTATCTCCGCATGGTGCGGTGAGCGTGGAAGGCACACGACTTACCTTTCAGTCAGGTCGATGTAGACACCACTTACCTATTTCGTAGTTGCAGGCCGGCAACTGTGCGGTAGTCACTATGGTAGGAGTCGTAGGTGACGCGGGGGTGGTGGACACCCTAGAGACACGGTTGGAGAATGCAAGGAGGAAGCACGAGGCCAACGAGTATGGCGACTTGCCCTGGCCGGTCGTCGAGGCTGGACTCCGCTCCATGTGGGCGACGGAGCACCCGTCTCGACCTGCCTCTCCTCGTCCGGTGAACAACGAAGGCGGCGTCGACGTGGGCGTCAACGCCGGTGGTGGTCAAGTCGGCAGCAGTGCTGGAGGCACGTCGAGGCAGAGAGGTGTGATAAACGCCAGTGAAGTCGGCGGCGTTCAGGCGCGAGGGATGCAGTCGTCGGCGGCTGCAGGCTCCTCGCATGGCGACACTGGTGGGCGTCGAAGTGGATTGTCGCCGATGTCGGCGACCCAGGCGACGGCGGGCGGGATTGCGCCGAGCTACGGCTACTTCAAGTTCACGCCGGACAGGATCTCAGTCACCCCCCCACTGGTCGGTCGACCCGACATTCTCACCTGGAAGGAAGCTATCGAGCCCCAGTTGGAGATGGCCGGACTGATCGGCTTCGCCCGAGGGACCGTGGCGACGCCGGGGAAGCACCACCCCGACTTGCGGGCGGAGTTTCGCGCCGTGCAGCTGTTGACCTTCACGGTCATCTCGCGGTGTTGCTCGCCGGGCGTGCAGATCGCCTGGAAGTGGTGCCGGGAGTACCTCGACGCCGGCCACCGGGCGTGGCACTTCATTGAGTCGACGTACCAGGTCACCGACGACCTGTTCATCGCCCAGCTGGAGGGACAGCTGACACACCTGCGTATGGGCGACGAGGAGAGTGCAACTGACTACTGCAACCGAGCCAGGCAAATTCTCGCCACCATCAGGATGGCCGGCGCGCAGTACTCCACGGCGTCGTACATCACCCATGTCATGCAGGGACTATCTAGCAACTATAACCTCCTGAAGCGGCTGTCTATGGCGCCGAGCACGAGGGCGACGCTCAACGAGGACAACCTGACCTCGTACATCTTGCAGGACGAGGCGATGCAGGAGGCTGAGAGATCGCAGGAGCTCTTGGCGCAGGCCAACTTCGTCGCCCCGGCGAAGCAAGGAGGCCGACCAGGACAGCGCGGACAGTCTGGTGGCGGCGGGAGCGGTGGCTGGAAGTCGACCAAGGAGGTCGAGAAGAAGTCGACCAAGGACGGCGGTCGAGGAGGAGGAGGTCGTCGTCGGGAGTGCTGGATCTGCCACAGCCCCGATCACCTCTCCTTCGAGTGTCCCGACCGCAGTGACTCCGACGACGACGACAAGGGCGGCCGCGGGAGGTCTGGCAGCCGTCGCCCTCGTCGTGGAGGAAATTATCCGCGCAAGGAGAAACAGTCGACCAAGGCATCGACTTCGGCGAAGAACGCATGTCAGAACATTATAGCTTACTTATTTGTGTAGGCTATAGTGGGGTATCCCATAGGGGGTACAACCCAATTAGGGTTTCCTATTTGTACTCACTTCTTTCATAGTCATTTCATTCTCGTTCTAGTTTTCTCATGGTATCGAGCAAGTTCCCCCGTGGGAACTGTGCTTAGGGCCCACCACATCGAACTTTTTTTTCTGCCCGGAGCGCACTCCGGGCCCTTTCTCTTACTTTTTCGATCTGCCCTAACGGCCCCTAGACGCCCGCGTGCCGCCCTTAGACGCCCGCGCGCCGCCCGTCCCGGCCCCTAGACACCCGCGCGCCGCCCGTCCAGGCCCCACGCCGCCCGCGCGCTGCCCTTCGAGCCCGCGCGCCGCCCGTCCAGGCCCCCCGCGCTGCCCGCGAGCTGCCCTTCGAGCCCGCGCGCCGCCCGTCCAGGCCCCACGCTGCCCGCGCGCTGCCCTTAGAGCCCGCGCGCCGCCCGTCCAGGCCCCACGCCGCCCACGCGCTGCCCTTAGGGCCCGCACGCCGCCCGTCTCGGCCCCCCCTAGACGCCCGCGCGCTGCCCGCCAGGCCCCTCGACGCCGTGCGCCACCCGATCCGGCCCCACGCCACCCGTGCGCCACCCGTCCCGGCCGCGCGCATCCGTCCCGGCCCCTCGTCGCCCGTGCGCAGCCCGTCCCCGCCCCGCTCCCAGCCACCCGTGCGCCACCCGTCCCGGCCCCGCTCCCAGCCGCCCGTGCGCCACCCGTCCCGGCCCCGCTCCCAGCCGCCCGTGCGCCACCCGTCCCGGCCCCGCTCCCAGCCACCCGTGAGCCACCGGCCCTAGCCGCCGGAGCCACCGGAGCCGCCTGTGCCGCTGACCGCCCGAGCCGCCCGAGCCGCTGACCGCCTGTGCCGCTGACCGCCCGAGCCGCCCGTGCCGCCCGAGCCGCCCGAGCCGCTCCAGCCGCCCGAGCCGCCCGAGCCGCCCGAGCCGCCTGCGCCGCCCGAGCCGCCCGAGCCGCCTGAGGAGCCGAGCCACTGGTGCCGAGGTGCTGCTATTGCTGCTGTGCCGGCCGAGCTGCCGTTTTTGCTGTGCTGCTGAGCTGCCCGACCCGTCCTGTCTGGTGAGACCGCCGACTGCAGTCATGGCTACCCCTAGTGTCCTAGCTTTTGACGCTGAGGGTCGTGCCATTGACTTTGAGGTCTGGGTCGACGACCTGCAGCTGTTCTTGCAGTGCGATAGGGTAGACGACCTTTCTCTCTTTGACCTTACCTCTGGCGCCGTCCCTGCCCCTGCTGCTGATGCTGACCCCACTGTTCGCTCCAAGTGGGCCACACGCGATGCTGCTGCACGTCTTGCTGTGCGTCGCCACCTGCCTACCGCTGAGCGTGCACACTTTAGTCAGTACAAGAGTGCCCAGGCCTTGTTTGACGCTGTAGTTGCGCGCTACTCCTCCCCTGCCACTGCTGCACTGAGCCGCCTCATGCTCCCCTTCCTCTTCCCTGACCTTGCCTCCTTTCCCACTGTCGCTGATCTCATTACGCACCTCCGCACTAGTGACACCCGCTACCGCGCTGCGCTTCCTGCTGACTTCTGCGCCAAGAACCCCCCCCCCCATGTACATCACTCTCTACTTTCTAGTCACTCGCCTCCCTGACTCCCTTCGTGTAGTCCGGGACCACTTCCTTGCAGTCTGTCCCACCACTCTCACAGTCGACAGCCTCGAGAAGGCCCTCCTAGCGGCGGAGAAGAGCATCGTCGCTGTAGGAGCCTCTCGAGGTGACCCCTGCGCCCCCATCTTTGAGGGGTGTTCTCCTTCCCCTCTCTTGCCCTCTGTAGCCTCTGCCGCTGCGGCCGACCTCGTTGGTCTTGAGTCGGTTGGTGCGCCGTCTGCCCCTAGCGGGAGACGCCGCTCTGGCAAGGGCAAGGGGGGCAAGGGAGCGGGTGGGGCCAGCGGGGACGGTGGAGGTGGAGGTGGAGGCGGCGGAGGGAGTGGGGGTGGCGGTGGAGGTGGTGGCGGGGGTGGGGGTGCTAGTGGCGGCAGTGGAGGCGGAGGTGGCGGCGGCGGTGGCGGTGGGAGCGGAGGTGGCGGAGGCGGCGCCGGTGGAGGAGGAGGCGGGGGTGGCGGTGGTGGAGGTGGTCGGAGTGGCGCTTCGCAACGGAGCAGCACTGGAGGTGGTCAGCGCCAGCAGCAGCAGCAGCAGCAGTAGCAGCGTTCTCGCGACGGCCCCACCCCTCAGCAGCTCCGTGAGTGGTACTCGCAGCGTCAGCGTGGTGGGAGTTTTGGTACCTGAACCTACGTTCTTCGCACTGGCGACCGCGCTGGAGAGCAGTGTGGGGGTACCCACACCGCCCAGCGCTGCTTTGGCCGCCT